CATAGATAACAGTACAAAATACTAGCTCTGCCAGTGCATAGAATGATAGATCAATTAAAAAAAAGCAGTCAAGTGTGCAAAATACAGTTTGATATATGCAGCTCAGGCTAAAGTTTAAAAGTTTAAATGTCTAACATATAGCCCTAACATACAAAACGATTGTAATATCGTTAAATCCACATTTTATCACAGTGTCACCACCAAGTTTATCTGTAAGGTTTTTTAAAAATAAAATACACTATTATCTCTTGAACATTGTGGTCGGGATAGGACTGTTTCAGGGTTTGATTTGTTTTCACTCTGTGCAGAATGCCACCAGACGTGTAAGAGCTGCTTCGGCCCAGAAGCTAACCAGTGCACCCAGTGCGAGAAGGGACTTGTGCTGGATCCAAACACATTGTTGTGTGGCGTGACAGGCGACACAGACTGCCCAACAAGAACCTACCTACATGAAGACCAGTTCACCTGCATGGGCTGTCACCGACACTGTTACTCCTGTGAGGGGCCGGGCAGCGATGAATGCCAGACCTGTGCCACACCCCAATACCTTCATAGTGAGCATTTTACGATCACTGTTCGATGTTTATGATTAACTTGTTAAGAACTTAAAGTCTTAAGTTTCATTTAACACACAATGAAACACAGACACATTGATTTTTCCCGTAAACACTCCGAGACAACACTCATAAAAGTTATTAAATCAGCTATGAATATGATGCCACAGATGTAGGCCTGCATCGTGTACAATTCTAAATCCTGTTATCTTGAAGGTAATAATTAAAATAAAATAATAAAATAATGTGCTTTCACAGACCTCTTCTTACAATAGATGTGATTCTTAGTTAAATATGGATTGCTACAAAATAAACTTCCCTTTTATTCTTGCCTAATTTTAAAATGAATATTTTGCTGCTACTTAATAAGGGGTCAATTTTTATTACCTTCTGAAGCCTTTAAAGCATCACAAGATACTGACCATAATTAAGAATGACCTCAACCCTTCTTCTTATATATATCTATATATCTATATGTATATATATATATATGTTGTTATAGCAGATTTTTGAAAAGTCATTCATAAGCAACATAATATTTTTTTTTAAAGTCTTCTCTTCTTAAATCTTCTCACTTTGAAGCAACAGTGGAAGTTAATAAAATACAACAGTGAGAAAGCTTCCAATGGACCTTAATAAGTTCCGGATAGGCTAGTGATAGAAGAACTCCTAATTGAATTCCTGAATATTTTTCTACAGTTTCAGAAAAGGAGCGTAACGGGAACATTTTGATGTATATTTTTTATATTTCGTTTCGAGAAAAAGTTACTGAGATACTTGGGAGATGATAATCCTTGGCAACATCAGGATTCAAAACAGTTCTGATTCTTGAGTGTTTGATTCAAATAGGAATTATTTTTTTTGTGTTAATTTCATTAACAAAGTCCCTTACATTTTTCTTTCTTTAAGGGGTACTTTTAATAAGATCAGCATCATTTATTGATTTCAATCTGGAAAGTGCACATTAATGAACATAAACATGTTAATATGTTAGAACATAGCAAAAGGGCTTATTCACATCTGTAGTCCCCCATGTTCAATAGTTGAATATTTTTTTATTGAACAGAAGTAGGTGTGTGTTTGATATTTAAAAAATTAAGTTGAACTACAAGATGACTCTTAGTATGAGCAATATCTGTGCGCTACTTTTGATAGCATTACATTTTTGTTTCTTTCATTAGCTAATGCTATGACAAAATTGATTTTTGTCTATTTAATTGAACACAATTATATTATTATACATTATTATAAAATAACACAATGATAAAGGATTTTTTTTGTAACCTCCACTTTTAGTTCAGGGACAAATAATGTGTCCAGATTGAATAAAATGGAGTGAAAGGGGAGGGCTGAGTGTGGTGAATTGAAACGTTTTGTCTGTGCTGTACTATGTTCCAGACAGAACCTGTGTGAGTGAGTGTCCTGCTGGTGCGTACAACACGAGGCAGGAGGCGGATGGCACAGAGCTGGGATTCTGTTTACCTTGTGACCACGCCTGCTCCACCTGCACCGGAGCATCGTCTAAAGATTGCCTCACCTGTTCTCCAGGATATCTGCATCTCCTTCAGCTCTGTGTCACACATTGTCCCACTGGGTACAAGGGCGAAATCTATCTTAAGCTAATCATTTCCATAGTTGTGTCATTTCTATTGCAACAGAGAAACTTCACATGTCAATCATTTTAATTCTTATTTTTTAACAGAAATATTACTAATTCATGTTAGTTCAAGGGTTGTGGATTCAGCAAATTGTAAATATTTTGTTTTTGTTTTGTACTGATTTACTTGTTTTTTTACTTTAAAGAGGACGATTAACAGAGTTTAAATTATGTAATAACGTTTGCAAGATTAAAGGTGCACTATGTAGATTTGGTAGTGAAATTTGAAAGTTGGAGAAGTGAAACACTTTTATGCTATATTTTCTGAATTTAATACACAAACTTTACTCAAAGAAAAAAATGGGTCTCTGGAACACTGCTTGGAGCTAAAAAGCTACCAGGAGAGTTACTGTTTCACTGTTGCAGACACCACAACTTTTCGTTTGTTTTTTGTTTTTTTTATCTTCAAACAGTTTTCTAGGGACCAAATGTTCCTCTGAGGACAGTTTGTGTATAGAGTTATGAACACATAACACAGAATCTGTCAATTTCTCCAACTTTCACATTTCTCTACCAAAACTACATAGTGCACCTTTAACACAATCTTCATACTTTTGAACACTGCTCATTTTTGTGCTTCATAAGGTATTACAGAGAGGGCTCGCGCTGTGAGAGATGTGACCACTCCTGTGAGGCGTGTACAGGACCGGGGCCTGAGTCATGCAGGGCCTGTCCACCTCCTCTTCTGGATCTACAAGGGACCAAGCTGTGTGTTGAGCGCTGTCCACATCGCTTTTATCTTCTTAATGACATGTGCAAACAATGCCACACAAGTTGCCAGACATGCACAGGTGATAAAGGAGCTCTTGACTGATTTCCCAATCATTACAAATTCACTGTTGGTAAACTGAACAATATCCAAAATGAAGCTGAATCAATATTTGACTTTATTTTTTCATTCTGGATAAGTGGCCATCTAAATCAATGTGTGTTTGCAGATGCCTCGCCTCAGAGCTGCGTGACATGTGACTGGGGTAGCACTCTAAAACACAAAGTCTGCTATCCTAGGTGTGAGGAGGGGCGATACTTTTCTCAAGAGGTGTGTTCGTTTATTTAACTTTAAGTTTCGTTTAACACACAATGAAACACAGACACATCCCATAAACACTCCGAGACAACACTCATTAAAAGTTATTCAATAAGCCATGAACATGATGCCACAGATGTAGGCCTGCATCGTGTACAATTCTAAATCTATTGTTATCTTGAAGGTAATAATTAAAGACCCTGATAATGTGCTTTCACAGACCTCTTCTTACAATAGATTTGATTCTTAGTTAAATATGGATAGCTTTTAAAAACTTCCCTTTTATTCTTGCCTAATTTTAAAATGAATACTTTGCTGCTACTTAATAAGGGGGTCAATTGTATTACCTTCTGAAGCACTTTAAAGCATCACAAGATACTGACCATAATTAAGAATAACCTCAACCCTTCTTCTCAGTCAAACTTTCTTTTATTCACCCGGTATGAATATATATGTTTATACATTTATAATTTAGGAAACCTGTGAGCCGTGTGACAGCTCGTGTAGGCATTGCAATGGCCCCAGACCTGACCAGTGTCTGACTTGTCATCGAGATTCTGCTCTGCATGCTGTGGAAAACCGCTGCGCGCGCTGCTGTCACGCCGAGGGGAACAGCACTGACTGCTGTGTTTGTGACAGCCGTTCAGGTAGAGACCCTGCCTATCAAAGGAAACATAGGATGTTATGAATTTACACATCTAACAAAAGTCTGTTTTTCGTTTTTTTTTTTTTCCCCCCAGCACTATGTTTGGAGGCCCCCCAGCCCAAGTCTGGAGACGATGAGGCATCAGACCTAAATATGTCATCCAGAGCTCTAAAGCACACCACGGCTGCTTTGCCTGTCGCCCTGCTGCTAGCATTGGGGTTAGCTCTGGCTGTGTTTGCTTTGGTGAAGGCCCAAGCGAAGAAAAGGTTCTGCTGGAGTCAGAGCTACGAGAGACTGAGTGGCAGCTCCAGCATCAACATGCCCCATGGCGTGCCAGAGCCGGACAGCGGAGACGAGGTGGACGTGGTGTACACCAGCAGAAATGGATCAGTGTATCGGCGCTACAGCTTTATCCATGAGCAGGATGCCGAGGCAGACCGGGATACTGATGATGATGATGATGAGGGAACTTGTCTTAATTCATCGTAGATACATCATAACTATCTTTCTTATGTGGATGCTTACAATATCAAGACTGCCAAGTGAATTCAAAATAATTAAATGTTTAGGAGGGAATGTAGTGGTATGTTACTTTTTGAATTCTGGTGTTTATTTTGTTCTACAAAGTGCCTGTTTCTTTACAATGTACATTTTTAGATGAGGAGAAATACATTCATAAGTGTATATATAAGTAGCATTAATGACATTTTTACTAGCTATTAAAGAGATATTTGTTCAAAAGTGATATGTTCATGTAAGATAACTTAGATCTGCATTTGATGTTGTAAATATAAATGATTAAAATAAACACTTTTTTTATCCGATGCACTCACTGCACTTTGATTAATGGCTTTCCTGGCCATCCTATTCATTTTTTTAAATCCCTCACATGGTGTCAGCTTCAGTAACAGACTGTGGATTTGCCAACATTTTGTGTTCCTTGTAACTTAGGAAAAAGGTCATTCAAACATCCTTGTTTGTTGTGAAGGCGTTGTGTGATCTGATGGTAACCTGAAGCCTTAGCAAATACAGAATTCGTGTCTACCAGGACATTCATGAGATAAGCTCCAACCAGTAAAATTATTTTCACAGCTTCCTTGAAACCATGAATCATTAAGTGGCCGCTCAACAAATAAAACACAGCAGCGTCACCGCATTTGGTTAAACTGTAACCTGCACTCACCAGTGCGGTACTCGCGTCAAGCAGGGACATGGCTTTTCCTAAAATTTTGAGGGGCCACATGTTCTTAAGAAGCCTCACTCTCATCCTCATGGGACTATTGTTTTCTGTGATCCTGTGGGAAACCAGCTCTAACAGAAAGTCACTGTCTGATCTCAGGATACCACAAGAGTTCTCTCGTGACCTTCCCGGCTGCCTGGCTATCATAAGTGGAGATACAGCGGGCAGGAAAAGGGAATTGGAGGAACTTCTCGCATCCAGGAAAAGACCTACTCCGATATCTGAGGACTTCTACCTCAGTGTGACAAAAGATTGTGAAGCTTATGTTGAAAAAAGAGGCTTTATGGCGGTGCCCCTCAGTGAAGAGGAGAGGGATTTTCCCATTGCCTACTCGATGGTGATCCATGAGAAGATTGAGATGTTTGAGCGACTTCTAAGAGCTGTTTACACTCCTCAGAACATCTACTGTGTGCACGTGGACCAGAAATCCCCAAAAGAATTTCAAAAGGCTGCAGAGGCTATTGTTTCCTGCTTTCCTAATGTGCTTTTAGCCAGCAAGTCAGAGAGGGTAGTGTATGCCTCATGGTCCAGAGTGCAGGCTGATTTGAACTGCATGAAAGATCTGCTAGACTCACACATCCAGTGGAGGTACATGCTGAACACCTGCGGGACAGACTTCCCCATCAAAACCAACAGAGAGATGATCCAGGCACTGAAAGCCATCAATGGGAGAAACAGCATGGAGTCTGAGGTCACCAGTGACAGCAAGGCCGGCCGATGGATGTACCATCACAATGTCACCGGCACTGTTGAACGAACAAATGTGAGGAAAAGTCCCCCTCCTATCAGAAGCCCCATGTTCACAGGGAACGCTTATTTTGTGGTCACAAGAGAATTTGTGAAACATGTGATGCAGGACAGAGAAGTTCAAGAGCTCATGGAGTGGGAGAAAGACACATACAGCCCTGATGAACACCTATGGGCAACCCTGCAGAGGATGCCGTCCGTCCCTGGATCAGTGCCCGCCAACAGTAAGTATGACACAACAGACATGCTCGCCCTGGCTCGTGTGGTGAAGTGGGGCTATCTAGCAGGAGACGTAAGACGTGGAGCTCCGTACGAGCATTGCACTGGAGAGTACAGGAGAGCCGTTTGTGTTTACGGGGCTGGAGACCTCCAGTGGCTCCTAACAAAACCACATCTCCTTGCTAATAAGTTTGATCCTGAGGTAGACGATGTTGCTGTTCGATGTTTGGAGTCAGTTCTGCGCTTCAAGGCTTACGGAATAATTCAAGGTTAATAGAATAATGTTACACCATTTTGTAAAGCTTATAATCAATTTTGAAATTTAAATGTAAATTAGTAATTAATTTAAATATTGTAGAACATTATTTATGAATATATGTGTAAAGTAGCCTACTCATTTCTACCGAGAACAAGTTTATGTTGTTCCCAAACATTGTCTTCAAACTTAATTTAAAAATTATATTTTTTGAACTGTTCAATCACTTAGTTATGTTCTGTTGAATATCTGCCTTTGTGAAGGTAATAGCAGACCTCTAAATGTATTTTGTCAGCTTTTTGATTTCAATGAAATCTGAATTTATTGTGCCATCTAGTGGAGTCTAAGTGTAAAAGATTCACAAATCAAAAACTGTTACAGCAATTCAGGTCGGTTGTGTCGGTTTTGCCAAACACACTGAAAATGTAATCTGAACATAAGTTAGTTTGTGCTGCCATAAATGTATCTGTGTTTTGTTACCACTGCAAAACTGGCACTTGTTCAAATAAAAATGAATCTAAAACAATCTTGTGGATCCATGATTTTACTTTGAGGAAGTGTTATGATGAGACCTTTATTTTTGCTTCTGTTTGTTGCTCTCCCTCCACAATTCAGAGGGCACATTCAAGTGAGGGGCCAAAAATAAAACTTTATTTACCCAAGGCAGGATTTTAACAGTGAACAGTGAAAAAAAAAAAAAAAAAAAAGGTGCCATCAAAAATTGTGTTCTATGAAATGCCCCTCAAAGGGGCTGAGACCTACAATGCAGTTAAAATCAGAGCAACCATAAAAATATATTAATTTCTCTCCTTTGTCACCTTTGAATATAAATATATATTGAAATGTAATAAAGCAGAACATGCATCAATCGTCTGTAACAGAGTGCCTTAAATAATGCTTAGATACAACAGTAACTGGAGAACACCCATAAGCTACGTTCATTATGATATGCCGGCAGTAGATAAAAAAAAGATTGAAAACATTTCAGACAGATTGTGGGAAAACGCTGAGAATCAGGCAGGAAAAGTTCCACAATGAAACTGGCAGCAACATTTTAGAAAGGCACTTTCTTGATGCAAAGAGCTAAGTCTCCAGTCACTTTGCCCGTAACAGAAACAGAAGAGTGGCAGCGGTTCAAAAACATTCTTCATCGCTCTCCTCCTCCACATCTTGCAGTGCGAGCAGGGTCACTCTGAAACAGCAGGCGCAGCTACCTCCGCTTTGCCAGGCATGTCCTTATCGATTCTGCAGACAAATTCAGTATCATCAGACGACTGTGTTACAGGGACGTGAGGGCTATAATCACGAATAATCAAGGTAATAACAGGCTACTTTATGGCTACTATAAAATCATACACGTTAAATTTGATCATTATCTTAATACTATCATTAATGTGATTATTTGTGCTTTAATTAGGAACCTATTTTCACCATAATAATCACCATCTTATTTCCTCATTTACTGAAGCATGAAAAACATTTTGCCCATACCAACCCCTACAATCTGTACTAATATATGTACAATCACTTTAGAGTAGTCAGCTAGTTGTTTCTGAATACCAGAAATCCTTAAAAACTTTATGCTGGGTACTTTTCTTATGTTGAGCAACCCAACAATATACCTTAATCCCAGTAACTGAACACCCATGATGTATCAGTAATGAGCAAAATATTTGCATGTGCAAGGCTGACAACAGTTGAGTGTGGCAATTACTAAACATCAGCAGCAGCAGCAGCAGCGAGTGGGTATGTAGTGAGTCATGCAGAGAGCTGTGAGTGTAGACGAGGCGAGTGTTCAGTGAGTTACTGAAGGAAACCATGTGAGGACATGGTTACTGTGCAACCACACACCACAGTGACTAAGACAAACTACTTCCTTGTATTTCCATCCTGTGGAGTCGGACAAACATGAACAAACTTACCCAACATCAACCACATCAAAATCTAAACCTGGTTACAAAAAGACACATGCAAGTTAAGTCTTACTTAAACCCCAACTTTAATATCAGAGAGCATCTATTTCAACATTGTGTTGTTTATTTAGCAGCCAGCTAAAAGGCTACAAAAAGGTGCAGGAAATGTTTAACACCACATATGGAAAGCTGTTATATTTAAAGCAGTACATTAACAAACTGAAGTGAATTGTATTTGAGATGAACTTCACAGAATTTGGCTCAGAAATTGGTTGGTTAAACAATCACCAAGCCGTCTACTTTTGGAAACCAATCAAACAGCTACTCAGCCTTCTGTCCAGTAACATGCTAACTCTACTAGGAGGAAAGAGGCTAGCAGGTAACAGTGAATCATTTGTCTACCATGAAACACGGTACAGTTTGAGGTGTATTGGTGCATTCCTGAGAGCCAACAGAACATTTCCTTGTTAGTTTTGTGAATGCAAAAGAAACAAAAAAAGAAGCTAAGGCTGATCCTGGGTGAAAGTGCATATACCTTTTAGAGGTTTTCCTATTTTTTTCTTCGTCAAACCTTCAAGAGGAGGGCAGGAAATTGGGGGTTAAGGTAAAGAGAAATACACAGCCAAAAGCAACCAAACATCCAAACAGCAACATCATTTGAAAAAAATAAAAAATAAATAAAGTATTTGCGCTGAAGTCTTTGAAGTGCCATGAGGAGAGAAGATCACCTCAGGTTAAACCACATCAAGTAAAAACACTGCATGAGTTCATCAGCAGGATCCCCATGGTTATTAATGCCAGCAGAGGTAAACACTAGAAAAAGAGGCGTGTCTTCTTTGCTTTTACTTTGTTCCAACTAAATCATCTACAATCAGCTCCAGTCAGGAATGTTAAAAAATGATGAAATGTTAAAAGAATTTGAATGTAGGCTATACTATGCTTCAAAGGCATAATTTACACATGTTTTATGAGCTAAATTTGATCTCTTCTCCATCATCATACATATGGTGTTAGTAAGATAATCATATTATGGGCAGACGGGGTCCATGATTCCAGAGAAAGGACAAATACCCGTCTACAGATTCGAACAAAGAGCAATATTTAAAACAACAGAAGAAAAGCAAAACGTTGCTGTAGCACCACCTAGAGGTGAAATGTCACACGACTTTACCAGATTAGTAAGAGTTGGAACAGTTCAAGAACCAGAATTAACAAAAGGAATTTGGAAATCAATTCCAGGGAAAGCAGCGAGGCACATCAAAGGAATAACTTGAGTGGGATTTATTTGATTATGCTTTGTACCAAGAGTTGTGAGGACTGACTGAAATCTGTAGAAGGGAAGAAATGATAGGGTGACCCACATCAGTAATGGTATGCTCTAACATCTGCATGTTGACTTTTAGTGGAAACAAAATCGGTTGATTTATGATTCTACCCACAATGCTGCAGACATAATCTGATATGTAAACAGATTGATGAATGCTTACCCGTTTTGTAAACAATTGGAAACACATTTCTCATGTAATTATAGAATTAGAGGGCCAAATCACCTCATTCTTTATGGCCTTGGATTTATATGTATTAGCTTTCAGACACCACCTCACTGATTTGTCCTCTGACAGGACTTTTAACAGGCTTTGTTTAAACAAAAAAGAGCTTGATGAATGTGGATGTGTTCGTGTGGAGCATACTTACTGTTTAATACAATCTGGTATGGACACGTATTCCATTGGAACCAGTTCAGCAAGGTCTTTCAAGCTGTACACAAACTTAATTTTCTGACTAAATTTGGAGCTGTGAAAAAGGAGAAGGACATGTCAGATTCTGAAAGTTGGCTTAGAAAATCTTTATTCCATCACTCCGATGATTTTAATCCTTAAAGTTACCTTATGAATGGTTTTGTAAGTGCCAGCAGGGTGCGAATAAACCAAGAGGGATGAACAATTATCAAAGACTTCAAGTTTTTCCTTAACCTATACAAGAACAGAGAGAAGCCCATTTAATCCCGTCATGCATGACGACGCTGTGTTAATGATCGGGCTATTAGAAATACTTCATGTACTCACCTCCTATCAATCTGCTGATAACATTTTCTGAGCCAGCTGACTGTTGGCATCTTTTTCCGAGATGTCGCCCCGTTCAAATACACAATCATATAGTTCTCAGCAACCAAAAGCTCCAGTGTTCCGATCACATATCTGCAACAGGAAACATGTCATTACTGCTGGTGCTAAAATGTTTGTTCATGGAGGCCAGAGCAATTCAAATGAACACTCACTTGAATAGATTGTCCATGATGTATCTGTAATTAGGTTGACTGCTCTCAGGCATAAAGCACACAGCAAAAACAATTATGGCATTCAAACCGTCTCCATAGTAACCTGAAATGGAGAAAAAAATCCAACATTAGAAATGGATACAAGTATCAAAATAACAGTTTTATTGTCCAAGCATGTTTTAATGAATATTTTGACTCAATTATTTCAGAAAGTAACAAAAAAAACCGACCTCCGTGGCTGATGACCCTCTTGTAAGGTTCGATGGCCTTCATGTCCACTCTGTGTTCCTGGTCTCCGAAACGAAACACCCTCCAGCGCCGACCCTCCTCCCTCTCGTCCGCGGCCGAGTACTCCTGCACCGACTCCATACCCTTCTGCAGCAGCTCTGTGGTTTTTGGCTTGGGGAGATCATCTGAAGGAGAAACAGAACTTTAAAACCTGCAGCTTGGCTAAAACTTCCCTCGGATGTGATGTCATCAATTCAATTTATGCAGATCTAATTGTTTTTAATGTTTTGATCACTGTATAAATCATGAAACTTTTCAAATCCATGCATGTGAATCAACCAAAATTAAAATGACATTTACCATAATTACTTTGACTTTATCTGCTGCATCGTGATAGCATGCTCTCTCTCAAAATCAACACCAACAATCACTCTTTATCCTGAGGTCATGATTCTACACGGTGAGATACTCAGCATGCACTTGTTGTGTCTCTGAACCAGGAACAGAAATAGTGTGTAAAGCACACTCAAACACAGCAACAAACCACTGCTATAACCCAGAGGCCTTCTGTGCATTTTTGTGGGATGTATAGGACATAAAGAAAAGTGATAAAATGATCATGTTTATCAAGCATGCAACAGGCAGAATCTAAAATAAATGTAACAAAATCACAAAAACACTTCGTCATGAGGATCTGTCAGGATGAGCAACGTCCTTCTAAAATATATAGAATCAAACCCGAGCACAGTATGAGCCACATGTTTAGATTTATCTTGAAAATAACTAACATATTATCATTTAAAATAGTGTGATGCTGTACAAACAACACCTGCAATTCATTCAGTATAAGGTCATTAAAAGTTTTTTTTTTTAATTTCCATCATCTGATAGCTGCAGCATTACTGCGCAGATAAACCCACTTCCTAAGTGACGAGTTATGACTGATTATTTCAGCAAACAGAAAACGTTTCAAGGAAAGCAGAAATGACATGCAAAAAAAAAAAAAACATTATCTGAAAATGAAGGGCATGAAACACAACACATCCCCATGATTTTGTTTGAAAGCTGAGGACAGGACAGAATCTGGACAATAGGGGTTGATTGACTCATGGTTGGCAGAAGAAAAACAAAAGCGAGGGGGGCTGTCCAAGAGACCTTACCACTAGGAAGAGAGAAACCTGTAGCTGGCCTGCAGCCTGTTTCCAGGCAGAGAATGGAAACAATTCTTCCATTTGAAAAAGAGGAAGGCAGCAGTGTGGAAACACAAAAACAACAGAGCACATTTTAACCACACTTAACGCAATGAGCTGTCTTTCCAAACCTGTAAAATCAACGATGGAGTATGCAGAAGGATCCAAGAAGCAGGAGAATAAAAACTGGTCTGACAACAAGCTTGCTTCTGTGTTATCTTAAGTGTAATCCCTTTATAGATAAATATTTAAACAATAACAAAACCACTGTAGACTTCATCAGTTTCCAACTTACAGTATCTCTGAATCTCTCACGTCAATTCTATCTCTCAATGTTATCAAAACTAATTGGAACAAGAAGTGATAAAGGTAACTAAAATATGTGCCTACCTTCCCATTCAAACTCGTTGCTGTTGTCTGAAGGTGTGTCTATGCCGTCGAGGTCCAGCTCTGTACTTTCATCCAGGTCATCAGAGAGAAGAGAACTCTCACTGCGGTCGAGAGTGAGACTGATGTCTGGAGCTGAAAGCTTCTTCTTTGCCCTCTTGCCATGGTTCATTTCATAGCCTAAGTTAAAAGCCAAATCATTAGTGAGTATACTGTGTGTGTACCAGCATGAAAAGGAGTAGATTCAGAGTGTTTCATGTCATATCATAACTTCATACTTAGATGCAAAGAGCAGTTCCAAAGAGTTTGTTCATGCAAGAAATGCTTTCTGAAGTTTAGCCAAAACTAATATCAGGCTTTCTTTACACGTGTTAAACAAATTTATTGCCATCTTCCAAAATAAAAGTCTTCTTGTAATATTTGTTAAGATTTTTCTTTGTGTAACCGGCCCTCTGCTGAACTTGTTTTCCCTTGGATCCCACCTACTTGTCTCTAAAATAAAGCTGAGCCCCCAAACAGCAACCACACGGGGAGAAAAAGTGAAACATTGTTGTAAAAAAAATTAACACAAGTTTTAATTGATCTCATTATAGCCTCAATTAAAAGTGTGGCTGACTATGTAGCCTGATATTCTTGGTAAACCCCTCGGGGACCCCAGGTTAGGAACCAATACTCTACAGCAGCTAAAAAAAGACATGCACAGAGGAAATTATGCTTTAAATCCACATAAGAGTACAGCCTCTCATTCCTTTCAGCTTAACCTGAAAGCATTTCTGCATAGTATAATCATATAAAGAATATAATTGATTACAGCTACCCACTCATTTTCTCAACTGTATGTGAGTTTATGTGCAAGTTGGTAGTGAATATTTGAGTTTTGAGGTTAACTTGGAAAAAGTGTACATGTCCTTTAATACTCTCTTCCATCATTACAGAAAGCTCTGTATGCTGATGTGTTTTCATTACCAGGGTCTATTTCTTCAGAGGTTCCTGCGAAAAGTTCCTCATCGAGCTCCTCTTCCTCCGGGAGGGGCCTAAAAAGCAAACAGGAGGTGATAATTTGTCCGAAGAGGTTATCGTTTGTGTGACCTTACAAGCATGCAACATAAAGCTGTGAACCAAGGTCCAAACAATCTTTACAACATTATGCAAGATCGTCAATACCGTGGAAAATCCTCATCCTGCCACTCTTCCTTAAGCACAACTCCTTCCATACGAAGGCGGGCCTCTCTTGTGGCCACTGACTCTCGGCGCTCCAGACTGGGAAGGGAAACAAATAAAGAGTTGGTTTTTTTTCCATCTTTTGTGTATCATGATCGATAGTTTTAAAGGGCCCTCTTGTACTCAGAATGCATTAAGAGGCTAGCGGAGATTATCTGTGACAAAAAAACTCAAACACATAATCGGTTATCTGTAGCAGTTGCTTGTGACTTGTACAATCCTCAAAGGATTATGGGGGGAAACATAGACCAAGAGTCAAATGCAACTTTTAGTTCATGGGTTACACATAGGCAGTTAAACGCTGTAAAAAAATGTTTTGTGGATATGCGATGTACGTACTGTTAAGAAATGCTACAAAATAGCACATGATAATCGAAGGTCGCAATCAAGGACCAGGGTCTTCATGTTATGATGAGGATAGCATATGTTGCAAAAGGGCTAGATCCATCTAGGAATTTACAAATGTATACAGACGTAATACTTTAATGAATCTTCTTTAGCTCATTATCAGTTTGTGTTACAACGAATATGATGTGGCACATAAACAAGTAATGTAGTAAAACATGAACCCTGTCAGTTTTGCACTACTGCTACATGTAGGGGTTTTCTTGAAAAGTTATTTTAGCTTTACAGCTGGATATGTTTGAGTAAGAAAAAGAATTATGAGCATGGAAAACAAAGTTTGGGTAAAGCGTCCCTGTAGCCTGTAGATTAAGCATGACACCTCCGTTCAATCAGCTTCTGGACAGATGCTTACGTTGCTGCGGTCCTTATCAATTCATCGCTTGGCGTTATAGCTTGCCACTAGCAACCTAATCAGATCACTGGCTTCTTGAACAGCTTACGAGCTTGTGTTTAGGACTTACTCCCTAATGCCGATCATGGTGTCTGTATCTTGACTGTACAGAGCTCCCTTTGATGCAGTAATCACATACATGACTGTATTTGTGCTCCCAGACACAAAAACATTCTGGGATTTTAGTACCCAACATTTCATAACGCAGCAGCAGTTTAGTTTATGTATACTGCTAATCCCCACATTACATTTGAAATCCAACCGAGAGAGGTAGAGGTGCCACAGGGAGCTGAAAAAGTAACCCTTCGGTTTAATAGCACCTAGCTGCGTGTGAGTGGCATCATTAAGAAGGTAAAATATTTAAAAAAAAAACGCTGACACTTATAATATTAGTATAATAACAACGACATTATCAAATAATATAAAACGATCCTCTCTTGGTGAGATGAATAAAGCTGGAAATGATTGGTGATATACTAAAGTGGTGATTATGATAGTCAAGGCTTCCATCGAGACGGTGAACACAGCCCACATTTTTATTTTCAATAATAAAGAGCTAGTAGTTAGTGGTACCAAGTATGTGAATCCTGAGTTCTTCTGGCATGATGATGATGCGTCATACAATGAGGAGTGAGCAATTTGTCTTTTGTTAGGCACACCTATATTTCAAATGTCTAAGTCCTCTGTTTAAAAAAAAAACTTCTAGTTATTCTTTTTACGTCATAAATACCAGCAACTTATCCTTTGAAATGGAAAAATAAGTTAGTGGCCAATTCCAGGACATCCTAAAAACATTAAGAAATGCCATCTCTTCACGGTAGATAAAATGTCTCATCTAGTGGTGCTTTCCAGGTGTTACCCCTTTCATAAACTGATTCAACCACCATGTAAGACATCTGCACATACTTTACTGAACACGCCTCTCACGTTTGGCAGAAATCACACAGAGATCTTTCATCTTCTTAATAAGAACATCAACGGCCAGCCAAAAGGATTCTCCGTGCATGTGATGTCGCCCAGCTGTCCACTGATGTTGCTGTAGACTACAGAGGTTTGACATAATGACAGCTATACCGCTACAGTTCTGTGCATGTAATATCGCTCATGTCTGATGGTTGTAGTATCAGATTTTTTGTTGTTTAGAAATGTACAAAGAAAAGTTCATTTAACATTTTAGCCACTCCTGTTATTGACTTTACCGTCTCTGTAATTTTCCAGAAATACATTTCATAACCGCTCAGCTCAGTATCTACTCTACCTGCTTCTCTGGCCAGACTAAACAATAGAAATGCCAAAAAAAGCTTTGGACAGGATTGTCATTTTCTTCTGTTACAAATTCTAAGTTTGTGGGTTAAGCACTGATTTAGAAAAATGTAGGTATAAATATGCTGAGAAACTGGTTGCTCTATAATTCAAAACCGTTGTGAAGTGAAACAGCTGTTCTCCTTGTGTTTAGAGGGTCAAAAAGTGAAGTTGTGTCTGCGAGGCAAAGTCTTCGTTTGAACACAACAAATAGTAGAAAACAGTGCAGCCTAGGCCATGACTAGAGAATCACTGGCCTGTCAAACAACTTTTTAAATCCAGTACAAAACATTTCAGACACTTCAACAAGAAGAAATCTGATGCTACACTTTTTTTTTTTTTTGGGGGGGGGGGGGGGGGGTACAAGTAGGGCAAACATGTAAAATACAAAATGTGCAGACCTTGCAGTGGGTGTAGTTGGTGTTTGGGAGAGGCTCCCTGGTGTCGAGCTTCTAGCTTCAGGCTGTCTCTGCTCATTGTCTGGACTTCTCCTTTCCTGTGGCGCATGTCTTGTTTTTATTGGACTCTCCTGGAGTGCCTCTTCGCCATTTTCAACAGTAGAGGCTGTGCTTTTTTGCAGCTCGCCAAATTCCTCCTCCTCGTTGTCGTCGTCGTCTCCTTCTCCAGACACCCCAGAAGACGAAGGACTGGACGTCTTTCTGTTTCCAAACTCCTCATGAGTCCTCCCGGGGCTGCCATTGTTTAAAGTCATTTCAGTAACACCCTTCAGCACCGCGTCGCTCTCAATTACATCCGACGCCATAAGTTTCTTCTTCTGTTTGCCTCCTGATAAAAGAGTCCGACAAAAGACAGGGTTTCACAACACTATGAGAATGAATATCTGACTTACACAACTCCTGTAACGTAGGAAGTTTTAGGGCCGAGAGTGGTCCGTCATAAAGCTAGCGTTAGCCTTAAAGATTGTTGTTGTTGTTGACCACTAACTAAAGCGTTTCTTATTAACTTAATAGTGCAACACAGGAGCCACAGGTAGTCAACTTTTCTAAGTGTGTGACAGCACTTGATGAACCTGAAGGTTTCATAAACTAGCGATGCCAAGCTTATCCTACTTTATCAGTTTCCTCCCGTCCTTCCTCCCAACTCAAAATGTTCTCTTTAGCCGGATGGGCTAAAGTTAGCTCACTTAATCTGTATTTTTTTTTTTTTTGACAAGCTGATGTTGAGCACTTAACGCCGGTGTTATTCCGTGGAATCAAGTTTGTCAGCTGCGAGGCAACAAATGTGGAAAAAGATCCATCGGTCCACGTAAAGTTAAAAAAAAATGAAGAGTCAGAATCCGCTGGTGTAACTCGCAGGTCGTCAGTTCCAACTCTAACGAGCTAACTGGTACGTTCTGTCGTATGTCGCGCATTCACGTGGTGTCAGAATAATCGGAAAGGGGGGGATTCGAACTGTCGTCCATATTACTGCGGTTTCCAGTCGTTACACACGCTGGAAAAGTCGGTAACAAATGTGCAATTCCATTTGCTAAATGTCATTCATAAAACGCAGTGACAAGGCGAAGAAATGTAAACGATGGTTGAATGGTGAATTAACTTTTGGGTTCACTTGTCAATTGTACTATGGTAAAAAAAAAAAAAAAGAAGCGGAGTCCGTTATTTGCTTCCCATGTTGAGTAATTTAGCTTAATTCTAAAATGTACACAAAAAAAAAGTCTTGATTTCACATTGCCAATCGCTTTAAGTTCCCAAAGTCAGAAAATCGATGTCTCAGTGTTGAAGTTCCGAGAATCCGAGGGGCACGCGAATGCAGAGGTACTCTCCGGCCAACTTGCAGCGAGCGGTGGAGTTGCCAGTTGTGTGTTTCCTGCAGGTCAGTATATGAACTCTACTTTACTGTACTTTAATTTCCTTCGCGTATAAAACACAAAAGAACACACCACTGTTGTAATCGACGCTGCTTTAAAAATCCAAATACAATCGGATTTTACTTCCATATTGCATGAAATATTGTCTGTAAGATCTTCCGATTTAAAAACGTTGAAGCAAACCCACAAAACAAACATCAAAGAGTTAATTGCTCTCCATAGCCTGGCTTTAACATGTGTTTACTGAAAACATGTCTAATGTTTTTTTATTTCTATGAAAATCAGCAAACATGGCTGGCAGCTTTCGAGGTGTTGCTGCCCCATCCATTTTAATTGCCAGTGGTTAAAACTTTCTTTAAAAGGTTGAGACATAAGAATTTGATGTTGACCTGAATTGTACCCAACACATAGTTTTGAAAGGTAACCAGTCCACCTTTCCACCTATTAATATAATGTTTTATGTCAATTTTAACACTCAATGCAACATTCTGGTCCCACATAGCATGATAACTTTATCAGCAATATTTATTATCAATTGTCATAGGCCACCAGGTGGAAGTTGTTGGGCCGGTTATGGAGAGAAACTGTTAGCTCAAATAATCTGACTTTTAGGTATTTATGAATAAAATATTTGTATCTTGTGCTATCTATTGGTCATACTTCACTTTATTTCAGAATTGAGTATTTTTTTTTTATTTTTTTTTTTTACTCTGATCCATTTTAAATGAGTTGTAGGGCTGGGAAATATATAAAGTTTTTTAAGATATATCGATATATTTTCAAACAAGATATAGTAAGACAATATCTTTAATATCGTTATAAAGTTTTGTCGCATTAAAATAACGTTATAGAAGTGCCAGGTCACCTTTTTCTCATCTCACTGATGATGACTGACTGTCTGTCCCTCTTAACCCTGCTCCTCCTCTCTCTCTCTCTCTTTATTGTATTTAAGGAACATTTTTATTTTATAATATTACTTTTTAAATTCACAAAAAGGTAGTTTATTTTCCATATGTTTTCACTGTTAATAAAATACTTATCGATATATATCGAGTATTGCCATTCAGCTAATCAATATCGAGATATGAGTTTTGGTCCATATCGCATATGTTTATCTTCTAACTCAACAACAGTAAACAAATAAAGAAAAAAAATAAGTTGACATATTTACAATCTAATTACATTAATGACTTAATAAATATCAAGTCATACAAAATGTACAAATATACAATACTCATGATCACAATGGCTACATTCTGCATGTCAAGAACCTTTCCTTTGATGCTTTAAGTATATTTTGTGGCTTATAAAATATAATTTTTCTAAAATAAAGTTATGAATGCAGGACTTGTAAGAGAGTTCTTATAACAAGGAATGTTTTATAGCAGCAGCTATTGCTAAATGTAGCTTATGAGTATAGAGCTCTCAGTTTTGCATATTAGAATAGTAAGCCTATTAGTGTTCATTTGTTTCCAAAGTCCAAAATTTCAAAAGATTTTGAACAACCACATGTTTTTTTTTAATATGCAATGACACATATTTGCCAATATGATTCCCCTCAGTGGTTTGTGCAATTATAAAGTGTTTCATATGTGTTTGCGCTTCTACTGTCACTGCCTAAGTGAAATCTTCTGTTAGACTTCTTAGAATCTTCTTAGACTGTATGCACGGGGATATGATAAAAAAAACATAATCATAGAGTAGACATTTTTTTTAAGATACTTGAATGTTTCATGACATATTGTAATAATGTAATGTTAATGATATTCTTCACCAATAGTCATTTAATGCTCGTGTATAACATAAACACAAGAACTTGATAATTGTTTTCCTCCAGTGACTTATCCTTGCCACTAGGTGGAGGCAGATGCTTACTTAAACACTGCAGTGTGGGAACGAATGAAATGTGGCATATTTCACACTCTTGTAAGGAAAGACCTGAATAGATGTAATGTGGAGACTTTTCCAATTTGAATGATACAATTTTTGAATGCAAGAGGCTCCAATTCTTGTCTAAATATAACACTGACATAGGTAAAATCACATGTTGTTATTTTTTAATTGTGATATTCCAAACACTAATAGTGTTAGGGCTTACAATTTTTAGGGCTTACAATTTTTTAAAAAAATAAGCGTAGACAACATGCCAGTCTATTTAGTTTAGTTTACTTTCTGACAGAAAAGAACAGCAAATGCACTTTCATTTTTCTTTTGGGGATTGTTATAATTATTATTAAACAGGAAGACCTTATGGTGAAAAGAAAAGGAGGCTGTAGATCTAACATAATGATGCTGCCTGGTTAATTCCTCCTGTATGTGCAGCGGATCATTCACTGTTTCTAATTAACACATTGCTATTTACTCTGTTGGATCATTAGGCCTCATCACAAAAGGATAATCTAGTCAAATTGAGAGTTTATGCCTCTCTTCTATGGTCCACCATGGTGCTGTTTGCTAATGAGTCTTGTAGCAATTATCTAGCAAATTAAGACAAATGTTTCCTGTTTAACCAAGACAGATCTATTGAGCCCATGCTATAGCGTCAACATATAGAGTGCAACACAGATGGAGCACTGGTACCTATGTTTATTTCATATTTCTACAGAAACAGTAACAGTGGGACTTTGATAAAAAAATGTGATTTCTTTGCTTGATTTTATTTTTATTCACTTTTTTTGATAAATCCAAGAGCTTTATGAGAAAGTGTAAAAACATAATTGAATACAAAATTACTTTAATCGTTATGAGAACAAGATATCGTAAAACAAGGAAAAGCCAGCGCAAAGAAGCCTTTGTTAGACAGCCCTTTTGTTATTTTTTATTATTTTTTAGTGGCATTGTTCAGTACAATAAACCTCCCTCTTAAATACACAATTAAGTGTGTGTGAGAAGCTATTGTTGTTCATGCAGCTCCAGAGTGTTTGGTTTAAACAATACAAACCAGCAATGTTTCATGCAGGTCGAAAAAGACTCCTTCTTTTAAAAAAGTAATTTGAAAACTCCATCGCTGAACCTCCATGCTGCTGCAGACCCCTCCTTATATGATGAAAGGAGGGATGAACATTGGGGATCACAGACCGAAGCTGTAACCTATTTGTGAAGCAGAATCATTAAAGAAGGTTCTCCAACCAATTTCCATAAGTGGGGTAGCGGGAAGTATTTAGGCTACTCGAAGTATATCACTAATGAGAAAAGACAAAAAGGATTCATGTGCATGTTTTATGCAATCTCTTTCTGGGTGTAGATGAATAATTATTTATGATTGCAAAGCCTAAAAGGGAGGCAAAAAAGATACCAACTGCAAAGAGACTGGTAAAAAATTTAAAGAGGAAGTTAAATGAATATTTAAGGGAAGATGAAATATTTAATGGAAACAAATGAGCAAAACATTTAAAACGGCATGATAAATAGTAGCGAGTGCCATTAAAATGACCCTCCTAATTTGTGCTATTTGCTGCAGCAGCCATAAGATCGCACTCGTTCTTGTAATGGTGAGACTGAGACCTTTTTTTTTTTTTTCTCAGCATGCCAGTCATTATATGAGGACACTGTGTCTGTAACCCAGGGCTGACCTCACAGCTGAGAAATATTAGCCTTTGATTCCCTGTAGTTTGTATTGATGCCACGAGGCAGGAACAATTCAAGTTTTATTGACCTCCTTCAAGTTGCGGTTAGAGTTCTGAAAATAAACACGTAATGACATATGACTGCCGTTAATTTCTCAAGAGACACTTTGCACTAGTGTTTCTCATATAATATCAATCTGATACACTTTACTGTACATTTTCCACCTACCAACAACAAAAGAAAAAATAAACAATCTGGAAGATGTTCCGGCACAGTTCATTTGTTTTTCCAAATGCGGAAATAATTAAATCAGCAAACAAATAATTATTCAAGTCAATGAGAACAATTATCTCAAAGACGCCTCTGAGACTTGGATGTGCATGCTGAATTGATTAATTAGCCCACTAAAGATAATTGAGTTAGATGTTTGACTGCTTCCCCTCAACATGCTCCAGCTTCCCTTTCTGGGATCTCAAGAGGAGTATCATGTCCACCATCATGTGAACATAATGAACACTTGCCCTGTTGTAATGACATTCAGGACTTTCAGAGTTATATGGAAGCCTTAAGTGGACACGCATCTATGGATTTGATCTGTTTTCCCATGATGACTAGTGATGTCCGTATTTTTCTCAAGATCTCAACATATTTATCTCTTGGGGTAATGAGGTTAATTAATCAGGTCAAACAGGAAACAAGCTTTGTTATAACTAGAAAAACATGTGAAGATTTGGTCAAAGCAACTGAAATGTACCTGTTATCAAGCAAAAACTAGGGGTGTTGTTGATATCAACAAAACAACTGGAAATGACTCGTTACCATGGGAGACTGTTTTAAATAATGTATGGATGCATGTCCACTTAGGGCTCCCGCAGTGTAAGAATTTAGCATTCTGCTCTTTGCTTCTTCCCATTCTTCTTGGATCATAAGAAAAAATAAATGTAAAACCGTCCACGGCTTGCTATCAAAAGC